CGAGGACGCGTCCGCGTTCGCGGGCGAGGGCGGCGACGACCGGGGCGGCCTGCGCGAGGTGGATTACGCGCTCATCGCCGCCGCCGCCGAGGGCGACGCGGCCATGGCGCGGCGCGTGCTCGAGGCCGGCGCCGACGCCCGGGCCGCGACGGAGGACGGCGAGACGGCGCTCCACACCTGCGGCATCAGCGGCTCCGCGGACGTCGCGCGGCTGCTACTGGCCGCGGGCGCGGACCCGGACGCGCGCGTGACCGCGCCGCGGGGCCTGAAGATGACGCCGCTGACCTGGTTCGCCTACGGCCTCCACGAGGCCGGCGCGCGCGCGCTCCTCGACGGCGGCGCGACGCTCAACCTCGTCGTCGACGACGAGCGGGGGGACCGGCTCACGGCGCTCGACATCGCGAGCCGGCTGACGGAGGGCCACGAGCTCGTCGCCCTCTTCCGCACGCGCGGCGGCAAGCGGTACGAGGAGCTCGACAACGTCGAGCGCGAGGCCTACACGGTCGGCGGCGACGTCGCGCCCTTCGAGTAGCGCCGCGCGCGCGCGCGTTTTTTTTTCGTCCTCGGCCGCCCTAGAAGGCCGCCCGAGGGGCCCGGGGCCGGGGCGAGGGTGGCGCGTCGTTACGGCGCGCGGACGGCGGACCGCCCGCCGGCGCTCGGCGCGCGCGCGCGCCGCGGCCCGGCGCGCGCGCTAGAAGTCGTCGTCGTCGGAGGAGAGGTCGTCGAGGGGGTTGTCGCCGCGCTTCTTCATGACGCGGAAGAACTCGTCCTCGTTGATCATGCCGTCGCCGTCGCGGTCGGCCTCGTCGATCATCTCCTGGAGCTCCTCGTCCGTGAGGTTCTCGCCGAGCTCGTTCGCGACGCGCTTCAAGTTTCGGAAGGAGATGGCGCCGGTCTGGTCGTCGTCGAAGAGGGCGAAGACCTTCATGATCTCCTCGCGCGTGTCGCGGCTCTGCATCTTGGGCGTGGCCATCTCGACGAACTCGTCGAAGAGCACCGTCGGCGACGACTCCTTGTCGACGTCCTGCATCATCCGCCGGATCTCGGCCTTCTTCACCTGGAACCTGGACGCGGGGGCGAGGGGTGAGCGCGACCGGCGGCGTCGAGAGCGGGCGGCGGCGGCGAAGCGCGCGCGGCGGTTCGCGCGCGAGAAGCGAATCGAAGCGCGCGCGCGCGGCGCCGGACGCGGGCGCGGGACCCGAGGGCGCGGAAGGCGGCCTTGAGCTCCTTGATGTCGATGACGCCCTTGCCCTCCGTGTCGAAGAGGTTGAAGGCCTCGCGGATCTCCTCCATCTCCTCCTCGGAGACGCCGGCCCGCTTCGGCGCGCGCGACGCGCGCCCGCCGCCCGGGCGCCCGGACAAGGCCCGCGAGCCGCTCTCGACGCCGAACCGGTTCCGCGCGGCCATGGCTGACCTCGCGCTACTCGTACGTGCGGTGCGACGGCGCACGCGGCTTCGACGGACGGCGCGATGGGCTCGGGCACCCGCAATGCTTTCAAATCGTTGCCACAAGAGCTTGCCAAGAAGTCGTCGACGCCGGCATCTTGATCAGGGGGCAGCCCGATGTCGAGGCGCGCCGCCGCGCCTCGGCGCGACCGCCCTCCCTGACCGCGGCGCCCGATGCGCCGCCTCGCGGCCCTCGCGGCCCTCGCGGCGCCGGCGGCGGCGCTGCCGACGCTCGTCTATGTCGTCGGCGTCGAGGGCAGCGGCCACCACGGCGCCATGCTCCAGCTCGTCTGGCCCCTCGTCCGCGACCGCTGCGGGCGCGCCTGCCCGCCGCCGCGGAGCCGCGCGGACCTCGACGACGACGG